TGAGTCAGTTCCCTTTTCCTTATATCTGGCATATATTATCCTGAAGGGCTGTTATCATAGCCATAATTGCATCGTATTAAAGTATAGCCTCCCCTTTAATTACTTTCTGTGTTTTAGGATTACCTTTCTGAGTAGATTATATGCTTTTTGAATTTAATGGCCACAATTTGTGCTTATGTTTAAGTCTTTACAACTCTAGACATGAAGTAAACTCTCAGTAAAAGTTTTTTCCATTTGAATAAAAGATCGAGTTAAAATTTAGTTGTGCTCCTGGAAAGATGGCTTTAAACTGTTTTAACAATAAAAGAACACAGCCTCATTTATTGTTTAATCCATGTTTCCTGTATGTATAACAGAAAACCCATGGTAATAGTGAAAAAGAGAAGTTTACTTCCTATATGAAGGAAGTCTGGAGGACCCACAATGATACCACAGTTCCACAAAATTATCAAAAACACAAGTTATTTCCAGGTCTGTGGTCAGTCACTCCTACGGTGCAGCTGTCACCTTCTTGTCTAAGATGATTGCTGGAGCTCCAGCCATCACAACTATGGTTCAGGCAAGCAGAGACAAAGAAAGATTACCCCTTCCTTCTAAGGTGATGGGTCAGTAATCTCACAGAACACTTTGTCTTACATGTTACTGGGTAAAATTTAGTTATATGGTCATAGGTAGCTAGAAAGAAAGATTAAGAGTATAGACTGTAGCTGAGCAACAACATGTCTAACCAAAACTCAAAAAGAGAAAGATAACTCTTGGGAGGCAACAAGCAACCTACATTACATTTTTTAGGCCACACCAGACACAAAATTAAATCAATTTACTGTGAACAAAATTATGTTCGTCTAACGCTGCAACCAGCCGATTGAAGGAATTTCAGCTGTTTGAAGTGATTCCTTAGCCAGTGCTAAGAGTATCCAGATCATGTCTCACACGCAATCTGGATTATTACTATCTATTAATAAAACCCATCATGTTTCAAAATGGAGATAATAGCAGGGAAAAAAATCAATCCATTTTACACAGATTCTTCCAGAGGTTGTATGATCTTTATATAAGGCTAGCATAGCTTTTACTTCAAAAACTGATAAAACTATCATCTGCAAAGAAAATTATACATCAGTCTCTCCTAAACATAAATGTAAAATCCTCCACATGTATTAGCAAATCAAATCCAGCAATATATGGAAAGGATAATACACAATAATCAAATGGATTTTATTCCAAATATGCAAGGGATGGCCAACCTTAAAAGATTATTCAATGTAATTCACTATGTTAACAGAAGGAGAGATATGATTATCTCTATATATTCCGAAAAAAATTGATAAAATTCAATATTGATTCATGATTTTTAAAAAAGCAGCAACTTTGCACTTTGGATGATAATGTCAATGCAGATTTGTTGATTGTAACAATTTCCACTCTGGTGGGAGATGTCGATAGTGGGGAAGGTTGTGCCTGTGTGGGGAGGAGAGTATATGGGAACTCTGTACTGTCCCCACAATTTTGCTATGAACCTAAAACTGCTCTAAAAAGTAGATGTTAACCCCTATTGCCTTGACTAGAATAGTAGTTGCTATGCGTTAAGCACTGTCTCTAAGGCACTGGAGATAAAAGGTTAAATTACTAATAGTTAACTGGCCTCCCTGCTTCTACATCCGATCTATTCTCAACACAGCAGCATGAGTTTTCTTTTTTAAAACTGAAATCAGACCTTGTCACACTACCGCTTAAAAACATTTCAATGGCTTCCCTTCGCACCCTGGAATCAATATCAGTGTACGTCTCCACACCACGACCAACAAAGACCCACATGACCTGGGCTCTACCTCCCTCTCAGCCTCACGGGCGATTTCCCCCTTTCTCTCTGTGCTGTAGCCACGCGGGCTTCCTTTCTGTGTCTGGAAAGCACACGCTTATTCCAGGAAGACCGTCTCGTTCCCTTTGCCTGGAGCACTTCTCTCGAGCTCTTCCCAGGGCTTCTGCTGCTCTTCTGTAAATCTCAGCCGAAACCTCGCTTCCTTCTGGAGGCCTTCTCTGCCCTTTTGTCCGCAGTGGTGGCTGTCCAGTAACTCCCCA